ATAAAGATTTTGTGCCTAAAATGTGCCTAAGATGTGCATAAAGTGTGCATTTTAGTTTTGAAAAACGTGCCTAAGCCGTGCCTAAGTTGTGCCCAAACTGTGCCTAATCTGTGCACAAGTTGTGCCAAAATATTGAGTCACTCGAAAATCGTGTCCAGCCTATCGAGCTCCACAGCGAACGAAAAGGGCGCACGGCAATTATGTCAGTTTTGAGGTTTACGAAGTCTAAAAACACGGTTTGACGACGTTTTTATCCCCTAGTAAGAAATAACATGACTCAGAATACGGTTAGAGACAGCAGGGAAAGCCCCGACAAACAGGAAAATGGAATCTTAAACAGGTTAGCGTATTTAAAGTAAGTGCTCAGCTCAATTACATTGTTGATATGCTTATTTTATCCATGTTAAAAAATTTCCAAGCAGGTTTCTTCTCCCCTTCTTAACGGAGCGTTTAGTTGGAACGAAATATTTGTCTTTTTTTCAGGAGGGCAGATTTGCATTCAAAAAAAGAATTTACTTGTGATATGACTTATAAAATGAAAACGAAAAAATTGATTGCACGCCGATGAGTTTTGAAGCAAAATAAATGGCACGTCTCATCGATTATTATACGATCAAAGCTTAGGAAACAAGAACAAACAAGCAGCTTGAATTATTTTACTACTAAGTGTAAATCCTACTTTTTTAGTTAGAGAAATATTTTTAAAAAGCAGCCGCATTTTGTATTTAAAAAACAACACGCGTTTGCATGAAGGTTTCAAATTACCATGCACTTTGTACTTTTCATGTTGTTATGCAAATTCAGGCCAATTTTACCGCGATCGCAAAAAGTATTTTCTACGACTTTTATTGGCTATTTTTGTGCCTTACTTCTTTAGCTTTGTTTTTGTTATTTAGGCTTCGACTTTCTTTCACGATTTCTTTTAGAAACGAAAGAAAGCGAGTCTATAAAATTGCATCGCAATCGAAAAGGTTCAGACAGGCATATATCGCGTGTGAATTTCCACTTTATCCTCGAGGTAAACACGGACTGTCGAAGAATACTTTAATTTTCCAGACTTTCGGCGCGGCTCGGCTCAAAACTTACACTTCCTATACTTCTAACTGTATCGTGTTTGATCTGAATTATTTTTGTAATTCGTACCAAGTTTGTTCTTTTTTGTAAGTCGGGTTACAAAGATTTTCAAAAAAGTGCCTTGCAGCGTTGAATAATTGTGCCTAAACCGTGCCTAAACCGTGCCAAAACTGTGCCCAAACTGTGCCTAAAATGTGCCTTAGCAATAATTAAAACGTGCCTTAACTGTGCCTAAAGTGTGCCTAATCTGTGCCTTGGCATGTTTTTTTTCCCGTGCTTTGGCACAAAAACCGTGCCGTCTGTGCCTTTTCTTGAGCGCGAATCGTGCATAAGGCACGCTGTTACGCTCGTGTACACCAGTAGCGTGCGCCAAGCCTTAAAATCTTATAGTGCTTCTTAGAAAGCATTTGGAAAGCTTTAAAAAAACTCTAAAAAGATATCCTAAAATGATCATAATAGGATTTTTGAGAAGGCTGGCTTTTTGTATGGTGGGTTGTTTCAAGCAGCGCCATGTTTCTCTCGCTCCTCACTATGTATCACTATGTATGCCTACACATAAATGCTCGCAATGTTTTAATACAGGGATTAGCCGAGCTGAAAGCGACTTAGGCTCTCGTCATATTTTCATATGAGAAATTTCAGTTCCGTTAACCGGGCGTATAAAGTTATCAAAATATATGAAAATCATATATGGCAACTGCGGGGTGAAGAATTATATGAAAGAAGATCATCGCAGTTGTAGACGCAACTTTTGCAGTTGTTGTTGTTTGTTGTTAGTTGGGAAAAGAAAGCCCTTTGCAGTTGCGTCTATAACTGCGATGATCTTAGTTCTTTCATATAATTGTTTATGTATAGTTTGCATCAACGTAAAAAAACTATGATTTATTGTTAGCAGTAGCTCTGAAAGTTCCTTGACCATTCGCTCTTTAAAATCAAGAGTTCCCTTTTTATGATAACTTTTATAGCTTCCAAAAGAGGAAAACACCATTAAACTTCCTTTGTTTCGGCAGAGACGCATGCGGAATAAAAACTAAACCGTTTGTTCCAACAACCGATACTGTCGATCAGCGTCCTAATGTATCTCCATTAGTGACCTTTGCGGAACCAACATCAACCTTTTTTGTCCACGTTCTTTACTGAAATATTTTTCAAATTCTTCTGAAAGGCAGACGAGCAACAGAGAGAAAAAGGGAATTGAAAGTGTGAAGCGAAAAAAATAACAAGCCATGATATCATCCTAGTACATCACCTGGCTCGCTGTACTCCTTACCATGTCTCTTGCTGTAGTAACAGTACTAGTGACCCTTCTCTTAATCGTTCTGTTTAAAAAAACCGCAGTCTTCGCGCTCGTGCCATGTACCTTGTTATAAACCTGAACACAGCTGATATGTTTGTCAGAGGATTTTCTCACTTTTCTCTATTTGTAACCTTACTCTACTTATGCGACATTGTGCAATTTCCGCACTTAACCCTAGAACTGGCATTAACAACTGACTTTCTCTTCGTCTGGTTTCCTTTGACCTCTCTTACAAACATTGCAGTAATGTCATTGGATCGGATGCATGCAACAATTCGTCCCTATACAGCCCTTAGGCATCGCCTCATTAAAAAGTGACAACATCCACTATCGAGGTTCTCCGTGAGGAAGTCGAACTCAGCAACACGCGTACTGCCCACGTTATGCACATTCCCAACACACTGAGTCTCACCTCAGCAAGAAACAACCGCAAGCAAAAATTCCAATAGCGTTTCTCTTCAGTCAACTTCATTTTAATAATGTTACTTCACATGCTCTTTTTTACGGCGGCCATCTTGTTATGCGCAGTAAGAGATGCGCAGTGCAAAACCAGGGAATCACCTTAATTGTTAATTGTCCAATGTGAAGCACGGTACAAAATATCAGTCAAAGCAGGAAGAGGTGTTTTCTACATGATTTCTGGTCATGTCCTTGAGAAAAATACTAAAAACCTTTATACGTTTTTTCCTTCCTTTTTCAACAGAAAATACGTCCACACGGTCGCTTGTACGGTCGTCTTTGTAGGACCCGCATTTTGTGTTCAACGCTTATCCGGGCCGCATTGCTACTTGTCCTCTTTCCAGCTGTTCCAACAAAAACGATGGTCCACGCGGTCGATATAACTGTATTTCTACCATTTCTTGTAAAGGATCCATTTGTGTAGGAGTTTTAACCAATTTCTATGGTAGGTTCTTCGTTGAAGAAGGACAATTTATCAAATACACACCCTCCACATCGTCCCTCCACTTAGGCAGCCATTTTTTTCATTTATTGACCCCGCCTCGCTTTGGCGCGCTGAATCTTCCGGAAGTCAACCAGGTTACCGGAAACTGTTTCCGCATGGTCCGCATAGTTCTAAAAATAACTTTTTTGGGATTAAGATATCCCAAAGGCGTGACTGGGAGTGTCCCTCTCTGTCCTATTATGGCTCTTGGCGGGGTAAATACATGTAAATAAAGTCGAGCGCGGTCTTTTCAACTATTCTCTGGATCGGATCAGCCCGATCAAGCCCTCAGTGTACGGAGTATATGCGAGCTCTTTTTTGCCGTATCCGAGTCGAGAATTTCTGTGTTAATTCGAAATCATTTCCCTTAGAAGCGATTGGTACTTCAAAGAAAATTTTAACAGATCGGACAGGTTAGGAGAGTTCAAGCTTCTCTTCTGACAACCGGAGATGGGCAGCCTTCCTTCATTACATTGGTTCAAAGGCGAGGCCAATTCAGCCTTAGATCAGTAGGTTTCCCTTGCGATACATTAATTCTGGTTTTTATAACGACTTGCTTAATCGTAAGACTCCATGAAGGTAAGCAAAGTGTTCGATTTTTTTTTCCTTTTTAATTTATTTATTTCTGCCTCGAACATATCCGCGCCAAAACCTTCTAAATGCCCGCCAAATTAAATTTGACGCGCTCGGGAGTGAGTGTACAAAGGCCATACCCCTATCAACCTAAATGTTCTTCACAGAGAGGGGGTTGAGTATTGCTTGTTAATTGTAATAGTCCATGGGCCAGGACCTCAAATTTGATGATTTGGTACCAAAAAGAGGGACAAAGAGTGGCTTATATTTTTAAAAACTATGACTCCGCTAGTTTATTTTAATGTA